CCCTATGGACGAGGCAGGGAGGCTGGAGCCTCCTCTCTGTGCTCGGCAGTTCCTGGTGGTGCTGTTTTGCTCCCGGGGCTGGGCGTGGCCAGGCGTAGCCACGCAGCTGGGTGGGCCGCCGGCCCGCCTGGGCCGAGACCTGAGGTGGCATCACTCCGAACCACGCTGGTGGCTGCAGGAACCTGTCTGTGGTTCATGAAAAGAAGGAATCGGTAGCGGTGATTACGTGGATGAGGAGGGGAGTCTCCCCCCACTTAGGCCCTTGATACATATTTCAGACCTGCATGTGTTCTGTTTATCCAGCTCTGGAATATGGCCAGTGGAGCCGTTGGGATTGGCAGGGAGGGCGAGGACAGTCAAAGCGCTGCTGCTGTTTTTGGGGAGGCGGAGAGGCAGATTTGTCTCTGTGTGCTGGACGTCAGGGCTGGTTGCCTGCCTGGGGGGCTGGGATGCGTGTGCGCTGTGTGGGAGCTGCCTGTGAGTGGTGCCACCATGCCTGCGTGATCCTGTGCCTCGTGGGAGAGCGCTGTAGTAACAGAGTCTTTTTCAGATAGATGAGCCCAGTGCTGACAAAGAGGCTTCTGCACCGGCAGCGGGTGAGTGTCGGGAGGTGTGGGAAACAAGGGTGGCTTGGGGACTGTGGTCAGTGGAGGATCCTGCTGTCCCTGGGAGAAAGCTTTCCACAGCAGGGATAATGTGTATAACTTGGCCCGTCTTGAGAGCAGGATTTGAATTTGAAGAGAACCCTGATGGAGATGAAGAGTGTCCTCTCAAAATAGGGAGGATCCAGACTTCCCCTGGGAACCTTACGAACCAAAGTCTGACTTAGGAGTCAGTGTTGGATCTCCAGCCTGAACTGTCTCGTCAGTCCAAGTGCAGGCTGTAGCAGGACAAAATGGGAAAGCAAGAGCTCTTGGTGATAATAGATTTTTACACAGAGTGACTAATACTGTTCTGCAGCAACCAAGTGAAAGAAGGAGGCACTAAGAGGGTAGATAGGTTTCTGTTCATGTCAGCATTGAGGTTACATAGAGCAGAGCAGGACTAGTAGAGGTGGCCCCCTTGGTCCATCTGCCTGAAGGCTCACAAGATGCTTCATGCATCACAATTGCGTCGTAACAAAGTTCTGCTTGTACAGCATGATTCTGCTCTGTGTGTTTTGAAAGCACTTGTTATCTCGAGCACTTTGTGAGCATGGAGAGGGTTTTTGGAGCAAGTAGACCCTTGCCAGCTCCAGCAAGGATTTCTGAGGGTCAAATGGGGTTCTCTGGGGAGTGTCAGTGATGGGTGCTGAGGGAGGTAGGCTTGTGGGTGTGTGGATCTGGCCACATGCCTCAATTTGGCAGCTGGTGATGTGATCAGCTACCTGCATGTCTTTAGAGGGTGACAGAGTGGAGAAAACTGGGACATCGAATCCCACGGTGCAGTCAAACCAGCGTAAGCATGTAGGGGCTTCTGCCTACCCATAGCTGGCCATGGGTGGTAGAGGAAGACTCCACTGTCTGGTGCTAGGGCACGGTCACCAACGTAGACCTGTGGCTCAGCCCCGTGCAGCCGTGCCCTCCGGAGACACTGAGGTTTTACCCAGTGGCTCTGCGTGTGGTTGGAGGTGTGTGACCGCTGCTCTTGCGCGGACAAACGCAACGGTGCTGCCTCTTCCCCAGAAGTGTTATTTCTCTTACTGTGCACAGGGCCTGGGCCCAAGCCCGAATCTTCTCCTAAACCAAAAGCTGGAGCTCCCACTACCTTTGATAACTTTGTGCTGCCTGAGTTGCCGTCCGTGCCAGACACGCTGCCCACAGCATCTGCCGGTGCCAACTCTTCTGCCTCTGAAGACATCGACTTCGATGATCTTTCTCGGAGATTTGAGGAGCTAAAGAAGAAAACATAAAACTGACTGGGCTGTAACCCCAGTGTGAGGGGCTGGAGCTGTGACAGCTACTTCTCTCTGAACCAGACTACTCTTGAAACTGGTTTGCTCTATTAACCTCAAACGAACGCGCTCTTCTTTTTGAGCTCTCTTCCTGCTGTACTTAAACTGAGTGCTGCCGCTTTCCCCGTCTTTGTTGCTCTAGGAGGTAAGCTGGGGGGGGTTTTAAGGCTGGAGCAGGGACCAGCCCCATTGGACTGGGTGGCTGTGTTGGACATTCTGGGTGCTGGTCCCAGCCCTGTGTGGTGAAGGCTGAGGCTGGATGGGGGCTTTCTGCTCTCCCCTGGTGAGCTCAAGGGCAGCAGTGTTTCTACACTGCTCCCCCCCTGCAGCCTGGGTGGTGGATGAGGGTGATAAAGTCCTTTTGGCAAGACTTCTGACTGAGGGGCTGGGGCAGGTAACGCGGTTCAGGATCGGCAGCGCTGCCCTCGGACAATTCTGCCATCTCCCTGTGTCTGGCTGCAGTTCCCTGATGGCCTTTTTTGCCTCCCACGGACTCTCGGGGCACCATCCGTGGCCACTGCTGTGTTCTGGCAGGGCGCTGGCAGCGTGGGGCTGCGGCCCGGCCCCGCTGCCCGTGACGG